TCCTCTCTACCCTGCACACCCCCTCCCACCCACACTCCCCACCTTTAGTTCATGTGTCATAAGTTATTTAGCTTTTACATTTCCCATACTATTCTTGCCCTCCCCTGTCTATTTTCTACCTACTGTCTATGCTACTTATTCTCTGTACCTTTTCCCCTTCTCTCCTCCTCCCACTCCCCTGTTGCTAACCCTCCATGTGATCTCCATTTCTATGGTTCTGTTCCTGCTCTAGTTGTTTACTTAGTTTGCTTTTGTTTTAGGTGTGGTTGTTTTTTGTTTTGTTTTTTAAGATTTTATTTATCTTTAGAGGGGAAGGGAAGGAGATAAGGAGAGAATTATTAATGTATGGCTGCCTCTCGTGTGTCCTGATAAGAACTGGCCTGTAACCCAGGCATGTGCCCTGACTGGGAATAGAATCCCAATACTCTGGTTCGCAGGCCTGTGCTCAATCCACTGCGCTACACCAGCCAGGGCAGGTGTGGCTGTTAATAACTGTGAGTTTGCTGTCTTTTTACTATTCATATTTTTTATCTTCTTTTTCTTAGATAAGTCTCCTTAACATTTCATATAATAAGGGCTTGGTGATGATCAACTCCTTAAACTTAACCTTATTTGGGAAGCACTTTATCTGCCCTTCCATTCTAAATGAAAGTTTTGCTGGATAGAACAATCTTGGATGTAGGTCCTTGCCTTTCATGACTTGGAATACTTCTTTCCAGCCCCTTCTTGCCTGCAAGGTCTCTTTTGAGAAATCCACTAACTGTGATGGGAACTCCTTTGCAGGTGACTGTCCCCTTATCTCTTGCTGCTTCTAGAATTCTCTCCTTCATTTTAATTTTGGCTAATGTAATTATGATGTGCCTTGGTGTGTTCCTCCTTGGGTCCAACTTCTTTGGGACTCTCTGAGCTTCCTGGACTTCCTGGAAGTCTATCTCCTTTGCCAGACTGGGAACATTCTCCTTTATTATTTGTTCAAGTTATCAATTTCTTGCTGTTCCTCTTCTGCTTCTGGTACCCCTGTAATTCAGATGTTGGAACATTTCAAGATATCCTGGAGGTTCCTAAGCCTCTCCTCATTGTTTTGAATTCTTGTTTCTGCATTCTTTTATGTTTGGTTGTTTCTTTCTTCCTTCTTGTCCACTCCAATGATTTGAATTCTAGTTTTCTTCCCATCACTATTGGTTCCCTGTGCATTTTCCTTCATTTCAGTTAGTGTAGCCTTCATTTTTTCATCTAATTTGCGACCAAAATCAACCAATTCTGTGAGCATCCTGATTACCAGTGCTTTGAACTGTGCATCTGATAGGTTGGCTATCTCTTGGTCACTTAGATGTATTGGTTCTGGGGCTTTGATCTGTCTTTCCATTTGAGCCATAATTTTTTGGTCTGGTCATACCTGTTACATATGAGGGTGTGGCGCCTCAGGTGTTTGCCAGGTGGAGCAACCTAGTTGCTGGGTTGTGACACCGTATGCGGGGGTGGGTTCAGAAAGGGAACAATGGTGCTTGCTCCACTCTCTCTTGGATTTCAGTCCCTTCTGCTGCTTCTCACAAGCAAATTGGGCCCTTCTCGTGCTGGCTTCGGGTTGTGTGGGCTTGTGTATGTTCTAGCACCCTGTGGGGCTCTTCAAATAGCTCTTCTGTGAGTCTGAGAGTCTCTCCCAGCACCTCAACCCCCACAAGAGCTTTCAATTGGTGTTTTAGGCTTTATTTCCCAGCACTGGCGCCCTGGGTTGCTTGGTCTGTCTTGCTGCCTGTTTTTGCCTGGTTTACCTGGTGTGACTACAGTCAGCTAGTCACCTTGTGCGCGTCACTGGGTCTGCCTGTTGCCTTTCAGCACCTGGGGTCTGCCAACCGCTGCCTGTGCCCAGGTCTCCAGCCACCAACTCCGTCCCTCTTACTAGTCTGGATGAATGGTTGTTGGACTTCCGTACGATGAATGGTTGTTGGACTTCCGTACAGTTCAATTTTCTGTCAGTTCTCGTTTTTTTGTTTCTAAATTTTTTGTTGTCCTTAATTTTGGTTGTGAGAGGAGGCACAGTGTGTCTACCTATGCCTATATCTTGGCTGGAAGTCAACAAATGCAATTTTGAAGAATAGAAAAGTGTGAAGGTTCTTGATATATTAAGTATAAAAACTTATTATAAAGACGGTATGGTGCTAGCATAAGAATAGACAGACCAACAGAATATATCAGGAAGCCCCCCAAACAGAACCACACATTTAGAAAAACTTGTTATCACACAGACGGTATCATAAACCAGTACGGAATAGATGAATAAATGGTACAGGACAATAAATTATCCACATGGAAAGAAATTAGACTATCTATTTCACATTGATTTTGTACAAAAAAGTCAGCTTCAGGTGGATTACAGAGATAAATGTGAAAAGCAGAACATTTAAAAGAAAATATAGTGAAAATTTTTCCTGATTTGAGGACAAAGGATTTCTTAACTAAGACACAAAAGGCACAATCAATATGAAAATTTTGTCTATGTTAAAATTAAAAGTATCTGTACAACAAAGATAAATATGAATATAAAGAAAGTAAGCTATAGACTGAAAGATATTAAAAACATACAAAGAAACAGGTTTAGTATGAACAATAAAGTACTCCTATGAATTGATAAGCAAAAATAAAGCCAACAGAAAAATGGGCAAAAAAAAATCAGCAGAAGAAACTCAAATGGCTAATACACATTTCAAAAGATATTCAATCTCACTACAAATCAGATATGTGTCAATTAATGATGAAATATCATTTCATTTCACAGCCATTAGATTGCCAAATACAGTACTAAAAAAACAACATCATTGTGAGGAACCAAAATTTTTCCACTTCCAAATAAGCCTTTTGGGATATTGATTTTAAGCTGGTTATTAAGGAACAAAAGACTCAGAAAGAAACTTTGATCTTCCTCCTAATTGCCTAAAAAGAATTTTGATAGAGGAGGGGCTATGCTCTGGGAAGGGAGATACCACTATAGATAACTAGAGTTTAATAGAAACTAGTGTGTGATAGACAACTGCCTTTCTATCGCCATGTGAATTGCCTTCCTGCCCTTTAAAGTCCCAAACAAATCAACCCCCATCCCCACTTCCCCAACCCCCATCCCCACTTCCCCAAAGTCCAAAATGGCATATAAACCTTAACTGCCCAGTGTCTCTTTGGACCTCATGTTCTTATGGCACCCCTGCATGTACATCCATAATAATTTACAAGTTTTCTCCAGTTCATCCGTCTCTGTTAATCGGATTATTAGCCCAGCCAGAATAACTTTAAAAGGTGAGAGGAAAAGTTATTTTTTTACATTCCCACAATATGAAGTGCTGGAAAGAATACAGAAAAACAGAAAACTTTGCTAGTGAATAGTAAAAACTGATATACAACCACTTTGGGGAATGACTTGGCAACAGTCAGTTCTTGAAGACAGGCACACCCTTCCACAAGCAATTCCACTACTAGTAACACATTAGAAACCCCCTTGGAAAAATGAACAAGGAGAAAGGAACAAGAATGTTCACTGTAGCAGTTTTTAATATTTAACAACTAATACTCTAATACCTACAACACAATAGTTTGTTTTTTTACATAACAGAACACTCCACAGCAAATAAAATGAACTACAGCTATATGTATGAGCAAAATAAACCACAAAATAAAAAATATTTAGTGGAAACATTTTGCAAAATGATAGTTTAAAAAATATATATATACATAAAATATAAAAGCTATTTGGTACACTAAACACCTGATAGAAATGGTAGTTACTGCAGGAGAGGATGGGCAGGTTTATCTGTTTCTTTAATTTTAATAAAAAAAAACAGGCAAATCTGGCAAAATATTACTTCTTAAAGCTGGCAGTGAATGTGTACGTACACAAGTATTCATTATCTTACTCTCCACCAATCTCTAGGTGTTTAAAATAATTCACAAGGAAGAGTGGGAAATGGTTAATTTTACATAAACAGAACTTTGACAGATGCAAGAATAAATCTCTCTTCCAAAGAGCAGTCCAAGTTTTAATAAGTAAAATCACCATAAAAAGGAAGTAGAAAGTGTCACCTCAGCTTTACAGCATAATTAAAGCTTATTACTTGTTAAATATCTATCATTATTAAATTAGGGAGCCACTGTGTTCAAGCATCTGAGCGTTTAAATAAAAGATTACAAGATTTTAGAGCATAGGAGAAATATATTCCAGTATGTTGGGGATTTTTAGGTAATAGGATATGTGACATTCCAGTTTCATCATCTGAATTAAGATATACTGATACACACAAAACAAAACACACAAGGCTATGAAACTCTTAACCCTTAATCTAGTTGAACCTTTTTTGAGTTTTAGATCCCTTTAACGCTGATTAAAATAAAAACAAAAACGCAGACCTTAGAGAAATCACACACTATTTTGTACACAAAGGCCATCCACAGGCCTTAGCTTTAGAACTCCCGCTTTAAAGTTGCTTTTCCAAATCTCTGCCCGATACACTGTTGAGTTATGCGGGAAAACAACGCCAAGTGATTTACAGGCTTAGGTTCCAATTGCGTAAAAGTGATCTGGACTTTCACCAACTCCTCCAGAAGCTGTTGAAAGCTTTAGAGAGACTTTGCTCCCCATGGAGCGGAGGCTGGGCAAATGTCACTGTCATTCGCGACGGATCAAAAATCTGTCGTTTTGAAGGGGATCAGGTGGTACTTGCCAAGGTGTCCCGCGAACAGAAACCCCATTTTATTCTAAGTGCCTCAGGACTCAGAGAGGCACCCAGGAGCTCCCTGGAAAACGTCGCTACCAAGAGCCAGCGGATCAGAAACACTGGTCGAAGGTCGAAACTGCCCTATAGGACCCCTCCTCAAGGCCCACCTCAACCCGCTTCAGGTTGGGGACTGGTGGAGAGGGGGAGGGGAACCTCGCCCCCAAAACGTCCTCAACCGCCCCCTGCCAAAGTCCCTGATCCGGCCCACCCAAGTCACGGCTTAAAATATCCCACACTCACTGAAAAGCGGGGCCGGGTCCTGATCCCGGCCCGGCCCCAGGAATTCGGCGGGTCTCCCAGGGCTTGGGGGGAGGCGGCGGCTGGGACGCCATCTCCTCCACCTCAGTTCTGCTGCTGCCGAGCACTGGGACTCACCCGGCGCCCGTGCAGTGGCGGCGTGCGCACCAGGCACAATGGGCAGAGCACGGAGCCCTTCACCCCGCCCAGCCCAGCAGTCAGGACGAGGCTCTGTTGCTTTGCCAGCTGGGACCAGAGGGTGGGAGGATACCACTGATCCATGGGAGAGAAATAACTCCCTTTTTAAAATTTGCTTCGGAAAGAATTTCCACTCTCAACCTCCTGGATAACGTAGGGACTCATCGATATTTCTGATAGCGGCTACAATGTCTGGAATGTCGGTGTCCCTTAGAAGCCGCTTTGGGACTTGTCCGGCTCCAGCGGGGACCTCAGTCCCACGCACTCCAACCCTAGAAAGAGGCGTGGGGTGTGGCAGCAGTCCAGATAATATTACTGATTTTTCTACACCCAAGCCGGGGACGGTTCATTCAGCCCTCCGGAGAGGGGGCTGGTACTTTCGTTCTAAAGCTCTCGTTTCCTAGGGGAGCAAAATTGATAGACGCAGTGGGTGTGTTGTGTTTCGTCTTCCCCTCTATCTCTTTCTCTCTCTCTCTTTGAGGGCCAGAAGGGGTTAAATCTCAGACATCGGCTTCGTTGGAGAAGGTGAGGCTGGGAGGTGTGAGGTGAGGGTGTACTAACTGGGTGCCGGAGAGGTGTGGATGGAGGGGGTAGTTTCCTTCCTTCCGGGGCGGCTTTGTTAGCAAGGAGGCATAAGTGCGAAGTTTCTTGGACTTGACCGGAGCCAAGGGGATGGGGGGAGGAAGGTCTTGCTTGGCCAAAAAAGAGACTCGAGATTACATCTTGGATGTAAGGGAGATCTCACAGCTGAGTGTATTGGTGGCAAAATTCAGTTGTGAGCGCCTCCTTCTTTACATATCCTCACCCCAACCTCGCCACCACGAGACAAATGACACCTTACAGTACAGGGTGAGTTTTTAAAAGATCACAGGATGTGAGACAGCCTGGTCATTATGGTGCCTTTTCACATGCCCTGTTCTTTTCCTATTTGCAGTGAATGGTTTCTGCAACCTTTCGAGAGGTGAGAAGAAAGTTCATCCATTCCTCCCGTAAACCAGAGACTGGGGTAGTTATGCTTGGTTTGTGGAGAAGGGACTCTTTCCCTTAGGGATCCTGACACCGGGGTGGGGGTGGGGAGGAGGGAGGTTCTGTTGCAATTACTTGTTCCACTTCTTTCCGTATACTAAACACTTAAACGAAAAGCAAAAATCTTAACAAAGGTAACCAACAGTGAAAACCTTACTGTGTGGGATACATTTCTTACGGCTTCCTTTCAAAGGTAATAAACCTCTTATTGGCACAACTGATTTCTGACGTTCTAGGAAATCCTATCATTTCAGCGCTGTACATTAAGATGAAACAACCAAATTTAAGGCATAATATAATTCCTTCTTTTAATGTTGACGAGTTTGAGTCGCTAGATTATTGCAAGGTGAAAATTATTCGAGAGGTTTATAAATCCATTCAAGTGATTACACGCTAAGAGGGTTTTGTTTTGTTTAAGGTCCCTTCAAATTAATCAGGAAAAAGGTTTCCTTATTCTCAACACGTTCGAGAACTTCTCGGAGCCAAGAGATTATAGTGTATCTTTTATTAACCTTGCATGGGAACCTATTGGAGAAATAAACAATGCCTTTTGCCAAAGGAAAGAGAGTAAACGTTTTACTGAAACTATTTAACTTAAGTCCCCAGGGAAATATTCGATACAAATTGTCCATTTTAAGCATTTATTCCTCGACTTTATGTATTGGGGAAGAAGGGTTTTTTGGCTTTTTGAGTTGAAGGTTAATTCTTAATTAAATAAAATCCTTGACACTAACTAATGGAAATGAGGAGTCATTATTTTGTGTCAAGGCTCTGCTCTTGATATGTGGCCTCAAACGTTTAGAAACTTGCAAGTTAACTAGTGCATTTTTAAGGGTTGAAAAACACAAACTTACTCCAAGAATTATATCACATAGTAAGCACTTGGTAACAGCTTCACCCTCCCACAATTTTTTTTTATTTCTTTAAAATATTTTATTTATTTATTTTTAGAGAGAGAAGAAGGGAGGGAGAAAGAGGGGGAGCGAAACATCAGTGTGTTGTTGCCTCTTAATGCAACCCCTCCTGGGGACTTAGTCTGCAACCCAGGCTTGTGCCCTAACTGGGAATCAAGACTTCGAGGCTTTGGTTGGTAGGCCAGTGCTCAGTCCACTGAGCCACACCAGCCAGGGCCTACCCTCTCACCAATTTTAAACATGTTCATTTGAATTATAAAACTGCACAGATTAAAATACAGTGGCACCACTGTATTTTATTTGTGTGGCCACAGTTATACCATACCACATTGCCATGCAATGACATTGCTAATTCCTCATTTTAATGTGGACTGATTCATTAATCAGAAGACTGCCTATTTTTCCCAAACAGAATGATTAGGTAATTTAGTACCCCTCCTTCCTTGAAACAAGAAAATAATACTTGATTTTGTAGGTGACTGTCCCCTTATCTCTTGCTGCTTCTAGGATTCTCTCCTTCATTTTCATCTTGGCTAATGTAATGATGATGTGCCTTGGTGTGTTCCTGCTTGGGTCCAACTTCTTTGGGACTCTCTGAGCTTCCTGGGCTTCCTGGAAGTCTATTTCCTTTGCCAGATTGGGGAAATTCTCCTTTATTATTTGTTCAAATAAGTTTTCCATTCCTGGTGGTTCCTCTTCCCCTTCTGGTACCCCTATAATTGGGATGTTGGAGTGTTTAAAGATGTCCTGGAGTTTCCTAAGCCTCTCCTCATTTTTTGGAATTCTTGTTTCTTTATATTTTTCCGTTTGGTCACTTTTTTTCTTCCTTCTGGTCCACTCCCTTGATTTGAGTCCCAGTTTCCTTTCCATCACTATTGGTTTCCTGTGCATTTCCCTTCATTTCAATTAGTTTAGCCTTCATTTGTTCCTCTAATTTGTGAGTAGAATCAACCAGTTGTGTGAGCATCCTGATCACCAGTGTTTTGAACTGTGCATCTGATAGGTTGGCAGTTTCTTGTTCGCTTACATTTATCGGCTCTGGGGCTTTGAGTTCTTGAGCCATGTTTTGGTCTGTTCACACTTGTTATGTATGAGAAGAGGAGCCTTAGGTGTTCACTAGGGCAGGGCCACCCAGGTTGCTGGTTTGTGATGCTATATGTGGGGGTAGGGTCAAAGGGGGGCAATGGTGGTCCCCTCTGCTGCTTCCTGCCGCTGGGGCCTGTGCGGTCTGTCTCACTGCTCGCTCCTTTGCTGGTTTATCTGCTCGTGAATGTGTGACCTCCATCAGCCTGCCACCTTGTGTCCTTAGTGGGTCCGCCCCTTGCTACTCCACACCTGGGATCCGCCCATGTCTGCCTGCGGACCTGGGTGGGTCTGGTGGATCTTTTCTGCCCAACCCCGCTCAGCTGCTGGCTTTGCCTCTCTTACCCGTCTGGCTGAAAGGTTTGTTGTTGTTGGATGGACATCTGTATAGTTCGATTTTGTGTGTTTTGGCTGTGTATTTTGTTACTAAAACTTTGTTGTCTTTAAACTTGGTTGTGCAAGAAGGTACAATGTTTCCACCTACGCCTCCATCTTGGCGGAAGTCTCAATTTGTTTTAAATACTTAACTGCTTAACTATCATTAAGGTTAATCAAGTATTATATTGTATAAACTTATCTGATATATTTCTAGCAAACTAATATTTAATTTCTAACAGGAAAAATTTATTGAATTTACTATTCTGTGTTCTCAAACAATACTCAGTGGTACAAAATAAAAGCAAATTTTTACTCTGTACTCTTGCTTTCAGCATCTTTCTCTGAGACAACTATTGTTTTTATTTCTTTTGATTGGTTTAGGTATATCAATGCACTTTATCCTAATGCAGAATGCTAAATGAATCCCTAGATAATTAGAAATATATCTGATCCATCTAATAAATTTACATGTTTATGCTTCAGTGTACATATAATGATAGGGATATTATTGGAGAATACAAAATAGTGTTTTTCAAATAAAAGCTTGTTTTTATCCTTAAAGGTGATGATATATATTTGACTGTGAAAATAAAACACAAAAGATGCTCATTAGTTTTACTGTTTATCTTTTTCTAGTTATAATTATTCAGTATGTTTCCACTGACTGAGAAAAACAAACATGTGGCCCAGCTGTTGTTCAATACTGGTTCATGTCCAAGATGTATCTTCAGATTCTGTGGTGTGGATTTTCATGCACCTTACAAACTTTCCTACAAGGTATTTTCATTTTTTAAAAGTTAAGAACATTTCTTTATTTTTAAGTAAATACTTGTACATTTGAGGGGAAATATCTATCCACGACTCTTCATTAACTTAAAAAAGAACCTGTAATAAAATAATTACTGATAATGTTAATTTTGGAATTTATATTACCATAAAGATGTAAGTTACTTCTCAAGTGATTATATCTGACATTTAATATAGTAGAATCTTAGTGGAGCAATTCCCTGGTACATTTAATGCTTCTAGACCTTTTCTAAAGAGCATCTAAACAGAATATCACGCAGTGCTTTTCACCAGATATTAGGAAGTTGTAACAGGAGGGTGTGAGAGTCCTTAAATCTGTTAAGTGGAAGCATTGTGGATTCATTTGCATTTTTTCTTTTTCTGTTTTCTGTATTATTTCACTTCCAAATAGGTATTTGCAACCCTCTAGAAATAAATGCTATTAAATTATTATTTATTGCTATTAATAACAACAAAAGTTATATAGAGGTCTTTGACATTTATGATAATATACAGAGCTTTGACATTTAATAGAATCCTTTCACATAAAATATATAACATTTTGTGAAATATATTTTATTCTAATGGTGATGTTGTTTTCAGAGGCAGATAGTAATTATATATTTAAATATATAGCTATGTAGATAGTACAAACACATACAAACACACATGCACACACACTTGGTTTCTTATAATTTTAAAAAATTGCCCTGGCTGGTGTAGCTCAGTGGAGTGAGTGTGGGCCTGTGAACCAAAGGATCGCGGTTCGATTCCCAGTCAGGGCACATGCCTGGGGTGCAGGCCAGTTCCCAGCAGGGAATGCATGAGAGGCAACCACACATTGATATTTCTCTCCCTCTCTCTTCTTTTCTTCCCTTCTCTCTAAAAATGAATAAATGACATCTTAAAAATAATAATAATGAAAATAAAAAATAAAATAAAATAAAAATTGCCCAGGAGTTAGCAATAATTGTCATTTTTCCTATGTATTAGTTGTTCCTATTACTTTGAAATAATAGTTATATCTAATATTCATATAGCATTGTTATATGTCAAGCTCTCATATAATCCTCATAGTAACCTATTAGGTAGTAAGTACATACTATGATTGTCTCTATTTTCAGATGAAGAAACTGAGGCACAGAGAGGTTAAGCAACCTGCCCAAAGTTACACAGCTATTAAGTGAGCAAGCTAGGATATGAACTGTCTGTCTGAATCCAAAGCCTAGAATTTGGAGCTGGAAGACATGGATTTGAATCCCAGTTCCACCACTTTCCATCTTCAGTTTTCTCCTCTGTAATTGGGAATGATGATAGCATCCACCTCACAGGATTTTCAGGGACAATATCTAATAAAGTATGTGAAAACACTTTGAAAACAGGAAATGGTACCTATGCTATGATGACTAATATATGTGTATATTTATGCACACTAGACTATAAAGTAATAAACCTGGTTTTGTGTAACTTCTCTTACACATTTTTTTAAGAGTCTCCTGCTCTACCGACTGAGCTAGCCGGGTGCTACTTACACATTTTTAAAGACACATTAGAATCTATTTTCTGTGCATATGTTGTAAGTTTTAAAATATGTGTTATATAAGAGACTTAGTGTTACCAACTTTTGTTTGTATCACTTTGTGTAAATAAACATGAAAATATTTGAAGACTTTTTTTTGGAAAATGTACTTAAATTTTGACCTATTCTTTTCATATAATGATATATGTACACATACATATATATGTACTTGTTATACTGATGTTATACATCTCAGGTAATAAACATTTGTGTAGGTTATAAAATACCTGCATGTGTGTGCATGTATGAGTATTTCTTTGTTCAAGATAAAATGATCTATTGTCTTAATAAAATGAATTAAATTTGAGTGAGAGACTTTTCCCTTTACAGTCAGTAAATTGTAATTTGAGTGAATTTAAGAGAATGTTTATTCAGCAACTGAATAATAAAACCTGTTTAATTTAGACAAAATAGAGGAAAAGTTCTCTGAGTATTTGGATGAGTAGACTGAAATATGAGAATGGTGTGAAAGGAAGGCTACTTTTAACATTCTAATACAAAGGGTGACAAAAATTAGGGAAACCAGAATGTGCAATGGTAGAGGGCTTCTTTTGATGAATGCATACAAATGGTTTGTAATTGTTGTGCCAAATTTCAGCATTGCCAGCATGTTTACCTTTCTTTAGTAAATCGTCTTGAAATTATTTTTACTTAATAGACTTCTAATCTCTGTCTAATTTTTCAGATTTCACATTAAATAAATATTGTACATATGAGGTTTTAATGATTGTGAGATTATTAAATCATCTAGCAATAATGGAAAGTTTGTATGTCTATTTGTTAATAATTAGAATTGAAGGGTCTTTTTAACTGAAATTAGCAAGTGAATGACCCCACATTAGAACTACAAGCCAAATTAATACATTTCTTAATATTTCTTAATGGAGCCTTTTTTGCCTCAAATATAGGACTTTAGTTCACTGATATATGAAACATCCTTGAAAAAATATTCACACATCTATAAAAATATTCACACTCTAAAAGAGGTAATTCTCTTTTAAATTCCCTAGAAAGTGAGTGCTGGCTACTAAAATTAATTCATCACTCTAGAATTAATATAAATCAACATTGGGTAAATCTATGATATAATATTCACTCCTATTTTCATGCTTCATCTTACCCTTAGGGTTATTACTTTTTTTTTTTTGTAAATTAACTTTCCAGGAGTTGCTCAATGAACTACAGAAATTTCTAGAAACTGAAAAAGGTGAATTAATTTTGGAAGTTTCAAACCCACCTCCCAAGAAAATTCGACTACATGAATTAGAAGACGGGATTGATAATATGAGTCAAAATGGAGAAGGAAAGGTCTCCAGTGTTGAAGATGGAAACCTTGCTTCCAAGACTTCAAGTTTAAATGTATGCAACGTATGCCTAGGAATTCTCCAGGAGTTCTGTGAAGAAGAGTTCATCAAAAAGGTAAGTGATCTGTCTTTTGTTATTATATGTGCAATTATACAGAGGTTTTCAGTTTAAAGACCTAGAATTCCTGTATCTACAGGAACAATGCCATTCATTTCAACTTGTTTTACACCAATGGGTTATTAAAACATTTTTAAAATGTATTTTTAAAAATGCAAACCTTTTTATCTCAAATTACCTTTTTGTCAACATGATACCTGAAAACAACTGAAATATATATATCTATTCATCTAGTTTAGTCATGAGTGCTATTCAGTTGAAAAATATATAGCAGCTTTCCTTTTGCTACTTAGAAGTAAAAAGTTATAGGAAAGTTCTTTATTAGTCATACCTGTAAATGTCTAGAAAAGACAAGAATTACAGCTTTGTGGTAGGTACGTGTTTAAATGTGGTATTGCCTCTTAAAATCTTTCTTAAATTATGGGTAACCTAAAAGAAAACTATTTTGACATTCAATAGATTGTTCTGCAGGTGAGTCCTAGCAGTTTTGGTGATGTCAGTCCTCAGGGTCATGGTTAGCAAATAATTTCAGGAGGTTTATGAGAGTTCCCTGCTCAAAGGGGAAAGTTGGAAGGTTTTGCAGTGTCATCTCCTGGACCAAAAGTTTATGTGATGAAGATTACTATAAAATTTTCATCAATTCCTGGGAATTTACATAATACATTCTTATGTGTAAAAAAAGAATTTTTATATGATGATTTTTTAGGTATGCCAAAAAGTTGAGGCCTCTGGATTTGAATTCACCAACTTGGTATTTTCAGTCTCCTTCCCACCACAGCTATCCGTAAGAGAGGTAAGTTCACTTACACGCTTAAAGCTACGTGTGAAATGCCTGCTAGAAGTTTCTCAAAAAATATGCATGCAGCGATATTCTTTACCATATTATATATTTTACATTTTGTTTACTTATTGAGTGATTGAAAGCATTACATTATAGCTGTTTAATAATATTGAGTGAATGGATGAAAAAACGGAATTATTGGTTCAGATTAGTGTATTCATCACAGGACTGCCATATTTTTTAAAGGTTCTCATTCAGCAGAAGACATTCATTGAAGATTAACTCTGTGGTCAGAGATCTCCCTCTGAGAATTGACCAGGAATCCAGAGGCCTGAGTGTGGGGATGAGGGAAACACCAAGTACATATTTTATAATGGTCCTAGGATAGAGATGTTTCGATTATGGTCAACCTTTTTATTTTCTGGAGTATAATATAAAACAATGGCACCTCTTTTAGTCATTGCTAGAAAGGGAAATAGCCTTATGTTTATTTTACAATAACATTTCCCCTTAGTAAAAAAAAAATAGTCATTACTGTAATATTTTTGTTTGTCAAAATTGACATGAAAACATAAAACTTTTTGTTAATACTATTACATGAAGTATAAGGAGAATGGCCTTGGTAATCTCAAATTACAACAATGAGTTTTAAACATATCTGCTTATTTTTATGTATAAGGTATCTTTTCATTAAGAATCCCCCAACATCACCAGAATGTTATATCTTATACCTGTCACTTTCCTTGGGTGAGCATGTTTGTTAGCCCCCAAAAGACTGAAAATTGATTTAGAACTTGTTGAATGATAGATACAAGCTGAGAAGTGAAGAAGAATAGATGGTTTTAAGTAGTACCTCTGTTAACGACTAGATAACTAAGCAAATGGAAGAATAAAGGGGAGGATATACTGAGGTTTCTAAACACAAAGTCCTTTTCTAGTCAATCATCAAAGCATTTCTCTCTGATAGGTCATCTTCAGGGTCCAATGTTCACAGAGAAAAATAGACTTCCAAAAGCTAAGTGACTTGCAAAAAGTGGCAGTGTTTGAGTAACAAAAATAGAATAAGAAACATAGCTGTTCCTTGAAAAACAAAGGCTTGAACTGTGCAGATCCACTTATGCACAATTTTTTTCAATAAATATTGTAAAAATATTTTCTTTTTATGATTTTCTTAATATCTTTTTTTAGTTTACTTCATTGTAAGAATACAATATATAGTATACATATAAAATACAAAATGTGTTAATCTACTGTTTATATTATCAGTGGGACTTCTGGTAAACAGCAGGCTATTAGTAATATTTTTGGGGAGTCAAAAGTTACCCACAGATTTTTGACTGTGGGAGGATGGGGTGCCCTTTTTACTCCTGCTTTGTTCAAGTGACAATTGTATATTTTCCAAGTGTGGTTATATATCTTAGCACAAAACTCCTCTCAAAGTTTATATCTTTTACATTAAAATTTGTGTTGTCCGTATGTATCACTTATGTGATGATTTTAACAATGTTGATTTAATATTATTGAATACTTATGGAGTATTTATATTTTATATCAGACACAGGAGATGCTATTTTACAAAACAGAATTATTCTGCTTAAACTCTACTTAACTTTTTGTAACTGATTTCAGTCACTAAACTATTTAGCAGAAATATGTGACTTGTTCCTATTAAGGGGGAATTAATACTTCCCACAGGTTAGTGTGTTAAGTAACTTATTATTTTCCTTTTTGTTAATAAGTAGTATATTTTCACCCATTTACTTCTTAAGAATAATAATTATTCAAAAAGTATGCAGTTTTGTATATAGCATACTATTTTCACAACCTAGATTTCTTGCACAAATTGTACTTATGTTTCACTTTGTGATTTTTTTATTATGTTTTGTAACTATTATTGTTGTCTTTTATTACTTCTTTGGTGTTGAGATATGTTATGGGCCAGACTCAATATAAATTGTTTTTCAAACCAGTTAACTTACTTGTTACACTTCCCAATATAAACAGATGACACATCTTCAGACTCTTCTTGCATTTTGAATATAAATTTTCTAACTTCATTAGTGATATGTTTGTTCTACAATGTGGTTTTCTATTTAGAGCTTGTAAAACTTAGAACTTATTTGTCTGTGTGTAGAATAAACATATTAATATACATGGAATTGATTTGTACTAATTATCTCATAATTCAGAGTGGAATATATAATTGTGTCAATTTTTTCCCACTTCTGTAGAAGGAAATTTTTTTTTAAGATTTTATTTATTTATCTTTAGAGAGGAAGGGAAGGAGAGAGGAAGAGAAATATCAATGTGTGGTTGCCTCTCATGCATCCCCTGTTGGGAACTGGCCTGCAACCCAGGCATGTGCCCTGACTGGGAATCGAACCGTGATCATGTGGTTCGCAGGCCCATGCTCAATCCATTGAGCTACACCAGCCAGGGCTGCAGAAGGAAATTTTGATTAAAGATATACTAATTGAAAGCAAATCGGTTTTTTTCCCCATTTTTTATTATTTATTTATTTATCTTTAGAAGGGAAGGGAAGGAAAGAGGGAGAGAAATACCAATGTATGGTTGCTTCTCATGTGTCCCCTGCTGGGAACTGGCCTGCAACCTAGGATGTGCCCTGACTGGGAATTGAACCATGATCCCTTGGTTCACAGGCCTGTGCTGAATCCACTGAGCTACACCAGCCAGGGCTTGAAAGCAAATAGTTTTTTGAATAAATGGTAGTGTTTGTTATTCCTGCTTACAAAAGAACCAAGGGAACAGATGGCCTCAAGTAAACTATTTTTAAAGATTCAGCTATTCAGTTTGTTTTAATCTCTACATTCCTGGCCCTTCCAATTCCTTTCTGCCTACAGCCATAGTTTTTATTTATCATCAACCTAAAAGTGCTAATTTAAGAGCTAAGAAAGAAAAGCTTGCAGTCAGTGTAATCATCACCACCTTTCGCTGAGTTTGGAGAATACGGAGGACGGGAGGGAATGCATTTCCCGTGTGTGCTACCCTAAGAACCAGCTCGTCTGGTCAGGAAGTTTAGACTGAATACTACCAAAGAGAAGAAAAACAAGTAGATTAACTGATGAAACTATGTTAGACGTAAAGTAAGACATGGTAAGCAGAATATATGGAGGCAGTATGCAGGGATTCACAAAAGACAAGAATATGGAAACTAGCTGGACATAATACTTGGAAGCTTCAATACCTTCAGTAACAGCATTTGAATGACAAAATACAGTTGAAGTGATAAGGGAAGAATTACTATCTCATGACTACCTTGATGACTTTCTGGATTTGGGTTTGCCATTGGGGTGTAACAATAGAAGCATGTCTTCACTATAGACTCAGATGTCTCAAAGGGAGAGATAGAATAGTGTGATATGACAAGAAATTATACCTGGACTGAGAATCTGCAAACGGAATGATGCTAGACACCATCTAGAATAGAGTTTAGAACAAGAGGGACCCCTGACTGGTGTGGCTCGGTTGGTTGGGCATCATCCAGTAAAGCAACAGGTCACTGGTTCAATTCCTGGTCGAGGCACACACCTGGGTTGCAGGTTCAGCCCTCAGGGCCTGTACAAGAGGCAAACAAGAGAGGTAACCAATTAATGTTTCTCTCCCTTTCTTTCTTCCTCCCTTCCCCTTCTCTAAAAATAAATAAATAAAATCTTTTAAAAATAAATAAAATGAGAGAAATGGGACAGATTCAGAAGTGGAAGTGTGCTTCTGCCCCTTGGCCAAAGGAAAGGTGATTCGTTGCAGACATAAACTAGTCACAAAAGTTAATGTATACGGTAGCAGGAGGGACTCCCAGTATTTAGGCCCTTGATGGAAATCACATTTGGTTAAAAGCACATTGTCTGACAACTTTTGAATTGGAACAGTTTCTTCTCCTAAGTAGTGGTTCTCAGACTTTAGTATACATGGGACTCCTGTTGGAGAGTGTCCCAGGCCCTATCTGCAGGTGTTCTCATGCAGTAGGTCAGTGGGAAAGTTTGTGTTTCTAACAAGTTCATAAGTGATGTTGGTGTTGTTGGCACAAAGACCACACTTTGAGAATCACTGCCCTAAAGGCTGATGGCAGAACCAGTGTAGTCCTAAATGGCAATGAACAACCTTTTAAGATTTGTATTTCTGATAGGAAGGGGAGAAACAGGCATAATTAGAACATATCCTAGCCTTTTAATAGATGGATTTCAAGCAGTCCAAAGGAAAGGCAGGGGAAGAAAAATGGCATAGGAATCTGGACTGGAAGATAAAGGAAAATGTTTGGGAGATGCAGAGAAAGTGCAATTGAGACTTCAATTAAAACCAAATTATCCCAATCAATAAAAAAGTTGAGGGATAAAAATGAAGAAGAAAAATGAGGAATCCTTCCTTCTCTCTCTTTCTCCCTTTCCCTCTCCCCTTTCTACTTATATATTTCATTTGTATTTATATATTTATACATATTTATTTAACTTCTTATTTTGTAAAATTTCAAAAATTGTAAGATAGCCTAACAACTCTCTATGTCTCTATGTATATATTATCCAACCCTAACAGTGAAATTGTTTGCCAACCTGAGATCAGTTTCAAAAAAAAGAGAGAGGAAAGCTGAAGTTAAATTAATGCAAATGTAAGCAGGAGGGTTAGATCTGTAAGATTAGCAACTAGAAGATAAAATCTCTAATGAGTAGGGGACTTGCAAGAATTTCTAAGGAAGACTTGGGTACTTGGGGTTATGTTTAGATCAAGAAAGAGATGAAAAAGGGAATTGGTCTGCTATTGGCAACTTATGGTGTACTGTTGATGGATGATGTAGAGAAAGCAGAACTCTGTAAATACCGCTTTACTTCTGTTCTTTCTCTCAAGAAAAATCATCTTCATCTGAAAAGGGTAGAATGATCATTGGTATGGAAGAATGAAAGCTCCACATGGCAAAGCTTCTGGAAATGGGTTCAGGTATTCTGTCCTGGATGAATTACATTCCAAGATAGATTCAGAAAGGACTTGGTGCTGTTCATGAT